AATACTATCTCGCGTATTCAGTGGTTATAATCGATCAAAGTTCTCAAGTTCCTAGTATAACTATTGTTAATAATGACAGTAGTATTAGTATTTAGTAGTAGTATTACTGATTTCAGTATAAATCACGTTATCTTGTTTCCTGTGAAATGTCTCGTTTGATATGATGTAGGTAATGTTCCGATAGTGTCATAAATACGAACGAGCGTCTCGTGTATATCAAACTCAATGCGATGCAGAATATTCGGCGCCTCGCTGAATTGCTATTGAATGAGGATTTAGTTGACATTAATGCGGCGACGTGCACCATAACATCGCGAACGTGCAACTTGAGAAAATACTTTAGTGAAGTTATGTCTATATCTTCATCGTTTCCACTATGTATACGTCGATATTAGTGCTCACTTCTACGTGATTTTCTAAGAGCTGATACGAGGATATGAGCAACTAACGATCTTGTTACCAGGGCCAATTTTAAGATTGCACAAGTCAACGAAGTTATTTTATTTAATTTATTTTATGGTCAGGGCTCGCCCGTGAGTGATTACAGCTATTGAATTTGATTCAGAGGTTCGATACTCGCTTCGAGCAGAAGTGCCATCGATTTTCACATGGAAAATCTAGATTGCAATATGTTTCCAAGTGAAAATAGCTTCACCCAGCATTGCTGCATCAATAAAAAATTAAGACAAACATAGAAATTGTATAAACATTCATGATATATAGATGGAACGGAATGTTTGGAATACTATCTGTAAAAGCTGAGGCAGTTAGATAAGAAAATCATCACTACAGCTTCTTAAACTCTTAAGACCTGATTTTTTAAAAAAAATTCTATGTATACCTTTGATTTTTAACTTCCCGTAGGGTAAGTTATAGTAATCGCAAAAAAAATCGAAAATGAAAATTTTTATATATCTTTACGTTTCAGAGGTTTCTGAATATTTTGGAATACCTTAGAAAAAATGGATGCTTATGTGTGTGTGTGTGTGCGCGTGTATGTATGTGTGTGCGGATACAAATTTTCGTCGACGATTTCGGGAACACGGATGAAGCAATTTGAATAATTCAAAAGACATTTGATTCGTATTGATGCTGATTAGTTTTTGGCGGAGGCAGGTTCAGCCGTCCCGAAGATATGGGGCAAAAAGTGCCAAAAACGGTACCTCAGTTTTTAAGAGAACGGAGCGTTCGATTTTAATAATTCAAAAAACATTTGACTTGTATAGACAACATGTAAAATTGATCGAATTTTCATGAGGGCAGGTCTAGCGGTTTCGAAGATCTTACAAAAAAGTAAAAAAAAAATGCAATTTGGCGGTCAAAAATGATGATTAGACATATGCACATCAAATTATCAGATATTTTATAGAGATTTTAACAATAAGTATAAATTTTGTTTACATTCCTATGGGTTCCGTACTAATGTTTATCCGTTAGATAGCAACGCGGCGCTTACTTTTGTTTCTATGCAGTTAAAACAGTACGATTGCTTTGAAAAAAAGTTCAGATCTTCCAAAATATGTCAAAATAAAGAAATCATTTTTTTTCAAAAAAAAATTAAAAAAAACTTTTTTTTTAAAAAAAAAAGTAATTTTTTGTCCCATTTATAGTTTCTCAAAAATCTTATTTTTTCAAAAATGTTAATCGTTTTTAAAAAAAATAATAATTTTTGGTACGGGAAGTTCCAGCAATTTGCCTTAAGGCGCGATGCCTTAATTGCCTTAAGACAGAATTCCACTTACAGCTAGTTAAACACTTCAGTTGTATGTTTGAGTCTCTATGCGTCAAAACATTAATTTTTGGCTATATGCCAATATTGTCGTTATTTTTATTTTTATGTTTTCGCAGTTTGACCCCCAATTTTGACTTTAGATTTATGCTCAGCCTTAAAAGTACATTGGAAATCATATGCCCCAATCATATGCCCCAATGTTTCAAATTTGTGTATTTTGCGGAACTGCGTAATTATATAAGAAAAAATATTGAAATATAGATTGTGTTGCTAATTGTACAAAATTTAATAAACAAGAGAAATAAAACGAAATTTAACTAGGTTTAAAAGTGTTGTTTCGTCGTATATGCCATATTGCAGAAACTTTCCGATGTGCTAATGCGTTTTTACTAAAATTAATCAACATAATTTACGGTCTATAGCTGATAAATAGGCTTTGATGTTTCTAAATATATTTATTAATATGAAGATGTAAAAAAAAATAGTAAAGTTATGTTATATATTGTAGGTAATAGTAGGTTCTGTTTAGTCGTTATTTTCGTACGGAAACTTTTGTTTTATACGTTTTTTAGTTTTAGTTGGATAATATAGATTCTCAAACTGCGTCTGCTTCTTGGAATTCTGCTCCTTGGCAAGTTGTTACTAGCCCGAAAAGAAAACGACCAAAGCGCCAAAATGACGAACCGATTAAATTAAATAACAGATTTGAAGTATTAACAAATGAGGAACCAAAGGCTCAGCCAGAATGTCCTACACCAATCAAAAAAATTATTCCGCCTCCTATTATTATATACGGAGTTACAGATTATAAAGGTATGACTAGTACTATCGATAATTTCTTAGGCAATAAAAATTATACAACAAAAACTTTATCAAACAATAACATAAAATGTAATGTTTCAAATATTGAAGACTACAGAAAGCTAGTAAAATTCCTACCTAGTACGAAAGCAGTTACCAGGTCCATACTGTTAGTTACCATACCATACATACCAGGTCAGTACTGAAAGGGCATATAGAGTTGTGTTGAAGTATATCCACCATTCAACAGATATTTCTGAACTGAAAAATGAAATTGAAACCAAAGGGCATAAGGTCAGAAACATTACAAATATATTACGCTATAGGCAAAAGACCCCTCTCAATATGTTTTACATTGATCTTGAACCAAATAAAAACAATTCAGAAATCTTTAAGATAAATAAGATACTTAACCAAATTATACATTTTGAGACTCCGTTTAAACCATCAGTGATATCACAGTGCACAAAATGCCAAATGTACGGTCATACAAAAACGTATTGCAATCGACCATTTATTTGTGTAAAATGTGGACTCCCGCATGACAGTAAACGATGTACGAAATCGAAAGAATCCCCAGCTTTTTGTGTAAACTGTGAAGAAGCTCACACAGCAAACTACAAAGGTTGTTCTGCCTATAAGAATTTATTACAGACTAAATTTAAAAATGATTTCAACAACAAAAACGGGTCGAAACAATCACACAATTCCCCTATAAACATCAAAACTGCTGCCACTCCTCAACGATTTGGTAGACTAACAAACACGGAGCACATGTCATACTCTCAAGCCATCAAATCCAATAGAAGCGAAAACTCAAATACACAAAATAGTAACTATGCAAATAATGAATTTTCTCAATTCTGAAATTGAGTGAATTGAATTCTCACTGAATTTAAAAATATGTTTCAACAACTTATGCAACATAATACTATGATTATTAATATGTTATCTACCCTCATCAACATCAACAAAATTAATTAGCTGTATGGTTAAATTTTTAAAAATAGGACTATGGAACTCCAACGGGCTTATGCAGCATAAACACGAAATAGTATTATACCTCAATGAAAACAAAATAGACGTTTTTCTGGTAAGTGAAACTCATTTCACTAATTATTCAAACTTATTCATTCCTAATTATCGTGTATATCATACTACTCATCCAGATGGCACAGCTCACGGGGGTACAGCTGTTTTAATAAAATCTAATATATCTCACTATGAACTTGAAAAATATAACAAAGATTACTTACAAGCAACATCCATCAAAGTACAAACGTCAACTTTTGCAATAACAATTTCTGCCGCATATTGTCCTCCACGTCATACAATCAGTAATATACAATTTTCTGAATTCTTTGAATCTCTTGGAAATAAGTTTATAGTTGGTGGAGATTTTAACAGTAAGCACACATTTTGGGGATCAAGACTGATTAATCCAAAAGGAAGAAAACTGTATGAAGTTATTGTCCAACAAAACTATGGTACTCTTTCCACGGGCACTCCGACTTACTGGCCAACCGACCCAATGAAGAAGCCCGATTTATTGGATTTCTTCATAATGAAAGGCTTAAACTCAAGGTACACAGATGTTCATTCAAGCTACGATCTCTCTTCAGATCACTCACCTATAACTGCTACTATCTGTTCTTCAATTATCAATGTTTGTAAACCTTATAGACTTCATTCGAGAAAAACAAACTGGGAACTATACCGCTGCAAAATAGAAAACAATACTGATCTCAAAATTAGTCTTAAGAACTCATCGGAAGTTGACTCTGCTATTGACAAATTTAATAAAACACTTCATGATGCTGCTTTAACTGCTACTCCAGAAACAACAGTTCAACACGATCAACCTCTATCTTTTGAAATTAAAAATTTAATCTCAGAGAAAAGGAAAGCAAGACGCAAATGGCAGTCAACTCACTTTCCATCGGATAAGAACACATACAATAACTTAAGCAATAAACTAAAATCCAGATTGAAAGAAATTTCTAACCAAAACTTCAACAATTACGTATCAAACCTAAATAGATTTGATAACTAAATCTGGAAACCAATTAAAAACAAATTAAAACCACGTATTCAAAATCCGCCTGTTAGATGGGATGACAGCAATCATCTATCTTGGGCTAGGAGTGATGCAGAAAAAGCTAATTTATTTGCTCATTATTTAAGTACAGTTTTCAAACCAAACCCAGATTACTCTAACGCAGCGGGCCTTAGCTCAAATATGATTCCTTCTCACAACTCAATGAATAGTATAAAGTTCTTTTCATTAAAGATTATAATTGAAGAGATAAGTAAACTGAAAAATAATAAATCTCCAAGTTGCGATTTAGTGACGGCAAAAATGTTGAAAGAACTGCCAAAGAAGGGATTCATCCTTCTAACGTATATATTCAACTCAATAATTAGATTAAATTATTGGCCAACTCTCTACAAAACATCTGTAGTAAAAATGGTCCATAAAAGCGGAAAAGATCATAATATGGTTACCTCATATTATGTCTCTCATGGAGACAGAGACAGAGACCAAGGAGACAGAGACAGAGACAGAGACCAAGGAGACAGAGACCAAGGAGACAGAGACAGAGACAGAGACAGAGACCAAGGAGACAGAGACAGAGACAGAGACAGAGACAGAGACAGAGACAGAGACCAAGGAGACAGAGACAGAGACAGAGACAGAGACCAAGGAGACAGAGACAGAGACCAAGGAGACAGAGACAGAGACAGAGACAGAGACCAAGGAGACAGAGACAGAGACAGAGACAGAGACCAAGGAGACAGAGACAGAGACAGAGACAGAGACCAAGGAGACAGAGACAGAGACAGAGACAGAGACCAAGGAGACAGAGACAGAGACAGAGACAGAGACCAAGGAGACAGAGACAGAGACAGAGACAGAGACCAAGGAGACAGAGACAGAGACAGAGACAGAGAACAAGGAGACAGAGACAGAGACAGAGACAGAGACCAAGGAGACAGAGACAGAGACCAAGGAGACAGAGACAGAGACAGAGACAGAGACCAAGGAGACAGAGACAGAGACAGAGACAGAGACCAAGGAGACAGAGACAGAGACAGAGACAGAGACAGAGACCAAGGAGACAGAGACAGAGACAGAGACAGAGACACTACTCATATAGACCAATCAACCTTCTACCAATTGTTTCAAAAGTGCTCGAAAAACTCCTGCTTCAACATATCTTAACTAGCGCGAATATATTTCCAGAACATCAATTTGGCTTTCGGAGTCAACACTCTACAATTCAACAGTGCCACAGAATCGTAAGAGTCATCAACAATACCTTCGAGGCCAAACAATTCTGTTCTGCAGTCTTTCTAGATGTGAGCCAGGCTTTCGATAAGGTGTGGCACAAGGGACTTTTATCGAAGATTAGATCGCTACTTCCATGTGGTTATTATAATATTCTAGAATCTTATCTCGCCAATAGAAAATTCAAAGTACGGGTCAACACTGAAACTTCAATATCTCATCAGATTGAGGCAGGAGTTCCACAAGGCAGTGTTTTGGCGCGATTTTTATATATCCTATTCACTAGTGATTTTCCAACTTTACAATCAACCACAACAGCTACATTTGCTGACGACATAGCAATTCTTTCGACACATGCTGATGCATCTAAGGCTACGCTAATTTTACAAAGGCATCTAAATGTTATAGAGGATTGGACAAAAAAATGGAGAATAAAAATAAATGAAAGCAAGTCTAATCATATAACATTTACACTGAACAAGACAACATGCCCAGGAGTACATTTTTATGACCAAGCAATTCCAAGCACCGAATGCGTCAAATACTTAGGTATGCATTTAGATCGCAGGCTCACGTGGAAGGACCATATTCGCGCCAAATTAAAGACTATAAAAATTAGAACCGCTGAACTATACTGGCTACTGGGATGCAAGTCAATTTTGTCGATTGACAATAAACTTCTAATTTACAAGGCAATAATAAAACCCATATGGACTTATGGCATTGAATTGTGGAGCTGTGCAAGCAAATCCAACATAGCGTTAATGCAACGTGCCCAATCGAAAATGTTGAGGCAGATTTCTGATGCTCCGTGGTTTGTTAGTAACAAAACTTTACACGACGATCTTCATATTGATTTTATAAACAAAATAATACAAATCAACAGTATAAAACATTTTCAAAAACTACAACATCATTCGAACAATATAGTCTCTCAGCTTCTTGAGACATCAACTTCAAGAAGACTGAAGAAGAAGCTGCCCGAAATATGGAGGAACCTTAGATAATATGAACAGAATAATTGAATCATTTATTGAAGTGATTCTCTAAATATGATTGTAATATTGATCCGATAAATTTATATGTGTGTTTGCAAGTGTGTGTGTATGTGTGTGAGTGAATGACATAAGCCAAATAGCTCATAGAATAGTCATGTATTCTGATTGCTATTGAAAATAAAAATTAAAAAAAAAAAGTTCATTAATGTCAAGTCAAGCTAGCTTACTCTAAAACGATAAATAACAATCAGTTAAAAGTGATTAATGTTTCTTTATGTAGTTAATTTATTTTGCAGTCCGTGTTTTATGTTGATCTCAATACTTGTCGCGTGAGTGTAGGGGTAAATTAATTGTGTGAAGAAAAGCGATGAATAATTGAAAAAACGGAATCACTACAATTTTAAGCTAAACTTTGTACCATGATTTATTGAGAGCGATTTTTATAAATTAAATGACTCCTTTGTTGGTGTGGTGTGGATATTTGTTCACTATTTTTTTTATTGTTTACACCTTCGCCATTGTAAAGGGTTGGTTGTTCCTTTTTACTCTACTTTCATGTAAGGTCTTACAGAGGTAATATATAAAAACTGTTGAATCTAGCTCAAAAATATAACTATGAAATATATTCAAGTATCAGAAACTAAATACAAGAACCAAAACCAAAAAAAACTACAATAGAAAAAATATACTTTTAGTATGAAAATTGATACAATTTAGTTTATCTCTTGATAGCGACGTTGTAAGAATTAATTTGATTACGGGTTACTTTTCTTCTATCTTTGATTGTTTTTGATATAATGATGTTGGACTTTTTATCCACGGACCCTTAAGCACCGTTATACCCTATAGTTATTAAAGTTCTCTGAATGATATCAATTTAATTTACATTGATCAGTTACGAAAAGTTTATTTTCAAAAAACATGGTTGAAAATTGAATCCAAATAGCTATACCTCAATTTTTATTGATTAAGCCGATTGTTTATACGCATCGGTAAGTTCAAGCAACTTGCATCCGATTTGAATGATTCGGAAAACGTCGACGAAACATTGTTTTCTAAAAAAAAATTTTTTTTTTTTTTGAATATCGAAAATAAATACGAATTTTAATTTTTTTCTAGCTAAAGTTCTAAAGCTCACTAATATACTCCAAATAATTTTAACTTTGCATTTCAGTTTATATAATTCTTATAAATAAATATTAGTTACAGTATTTATAATAATCTATTTGAGAACATTTAATATTTCTCAAACATTTCGTTGTGGTACGGGCAGTTCCAGCAATTTGCCTTAAGGCACGATGCCATGCAGCTTAATATTTTTATTATTTTACTAATTTATTTCATATTCTATTCTGTTGTAACATAACATGATAAATGATCAAGAAATAATGCTAAACGTCAAATATGTCAATAAAACAGTACAAGTTCAATCCCATATTCGTCCTTGTAAGTATTAAATTAAATCGTTCCATAATTAATGAAAATACGGGGTGCCGTCTCATGCTGTACAAGATTTATTATGTCGCAAAAGATAAATACACGGTTCGTCGCAATGCATGAAAAGCGAGGTGGTAATTAAATTTCGCTGATTAATTCATAAGCGTACATATTCGCATATATTCCTCTTGGTGTTAATATGAAACACATTCCCATATTGAACAATTGCCATTCGGTATGAATAATATAATATAATATAATAATCATTGCGAACGAACGCAGGTAACATTGCGGGCAGGGAAAACAAGAGAAACCGGTGAAACTGTTTTGAAAATGAAAGGTGCGCGTTCGTGGAATTACACCGAATGCTAATTTAGCGAACACGATTGTGTGATGAGAAGGTATTTGATGTAAAATACGATTTTATAACTAGTGGTGTATGGCATCGTACTTTAAGGCTAATTGCTGCAACTTACCATACCGTAACGAAATGTTCGACGAATATTAAATGTTTTCAAATACATTGTTATAAATACTGTAACATTATCTAATATTATAAGAATCATATAATATGCATTACTAAGTAAGAATCATTCAAATCGAATGCTCCGTTCTTTCAAAAACTCGATTTCATTTTCTACACCCTTTGCTTTGTATCTCCGTAACAGTTGCTCCTGCCTTTGCCAGAAACTAATCAGTACATCTCCCTATCAATAGGAATCGAATGTTTATTGAACCATTTAAATCGGTTGATCCGTGCGCCCGAAAACGAGGACGAAAAAATGCGGAAATACAAAACACACACACACATCTATTTTTTTGAGGTATGCCAAAATGTTCTGCAACTTTCAAAACGTGAAGATATGCACAAATTTTTATTTTCGATTTTCAGCCCATTACTATAACTCACTGGGAGTTAAAAGTGTAAGTTATAAAAGAAATAATATAAACATATTGCAATATATAACTAGTTGTACATAGCATTTTGTATTTAGGCAATAAAATTAGTTCAACTGTTTATTTTAAAAATAAAGATATCGCCTTCATTAAAAATGAATTTTAATTCATATCTTTGAAAATTACTATAAGTATGTATTAGCCATGGTATAAATTTAATCACTTTGTTTAACATTTCATTTCATCCTTTTGTGTTCTGAAAATGAATTGTGAGTGTGGGCGCAAACTGTAATCAGTAGCTACCAACGAAACTACACAGAAAGTGCATATGCTTCACTTTAGGTTCTAATTAGAATCGGTTGAGTACGCGACGAAATTCAAAACTTTTCATGAATTTTTATAATTCAACTACTTGTCGTAGGCCTATAATGTTATAGTCTAGTAAATCTATCATTACACAAAGTTTCATTAAAATAGTCAAAAGAATTGAATTACGATGAGAGTTGAACCGATCTTTACCAAAAATTAATCAACGCGATTCCCAACCAATATCTTTCGAATAGTTTTTGAATTTTCAAAATCGATTTAAAATTGTATGGGCAAAAAAACTAATTAATGCTAGTCGTTATCGAGAACATTTTTGAAATTGGTCTAGCAGTTTCTGAGTAACCTGAAGAACCATAAAATTAAGAACCACAACCAATAATACACGTTGTTTCTATACGAAATGGTAATAAAAAAGTTTTTTTTTCTGTTATAATTTATTTTTGTTAATCGAGACTTTAATCTTAGTCTTAGTCTTAAATAATAAAAAGTATACTGGATTTATATGCTTATTCTTATAATAAGTTAAGTTTAGTCAGGCGATATTTATATTTGTATCTGATTTTTTCACGTCTAATGAAAACCATTCAGGGTCCAGGTCTTAATAGAAAAGCCATAATGAGAGACACATGATGGGAATGTTAACAATTTGCCTAAGCATTCTCTTCTGAAATATCATTATTAGTATGGATATTTTTGCTTCACATCACAATACCGAATTTCGGTATAAAATAATAAATAGCCGTTTGCCCGAAGACAGGTCCATGGTGTAAGAGCATCACAAATCAATGGTTTCCTTTCTCTCCCTTATTTACTATTACTATTACTATTATTTACTTTTAATACACTTTTATGCATTTTTCTTTTCAAACTCCTGATTTTTATGATTACTGGTTCTGTGATTTGGCTTTCAGATCCCTGTATTTTTTCTTCTTGAGTATGTCATCAATTATGTACGTTTTTCTTCTTCCCAGTCTCTTTAGAACTTTGGTATCACTTGTATATTATAATTTATAATATTTTTTGTAAATTATAATGACCAAGTTACCTTTATCATAATATGATATAATAGATTTGCATTAAATGAATATCTAAAATTTCGAATTGTATGTAATGTAACAACCTTGCATGCATTCAGATGCTTTTAAATTACCCATTTATCACCCTGTGTATTATTATTGATATATTTTCATGAAATCACAAATATAGCCCGGAATGCTTTCGAGCTATTGAAGTAGAGAAATAAATAGAATTTCATGTATTTCTGAAAATCTTTTC